TAGATAATTACTGTCCTTTATGCTTCTCTTGTACATATATATATATATATATATATATATATATATTTTTTTTTTTTTTAGACAGAGTCTTGCTCTGTCACCAGGCTGGAATACAGTGGCATGACCTCAACTCACTGCAACCTCTGCATCCTGGGTTCAAGAGATTCTCCTGCCTCAGCCTCCCAAGTAGCTGGACTACAGGCATGAGCCACCACCTCCAGCTAATTTTTGTGTTTTTAGTAGAGACAGAGTTTCACTATGTTGGCCAGGATGGTCTCAATCTCTTGACCTTTTGATCCACTCACAGCCTCCCAAAGTGCTGGGATTGCAGGGGTGAGCCATTGTACCCGGCCCTCTTGTATGTTTTTATACCAGACCACATTTTAGGTTTTTTGATATTCTAATTCTTGAATATTTTCCCTTGCTTGCCTGGCCACTTCTTTCCCCAGCCATGCCAGCCTTCACCTGCCTAAACAGGTTTGCTAGTTAACATGACTGCCCGCTGCCACTGCACTTTCTAACATGTGATTGCCATTATCTTTTTGCCTTCCAGCTTCCTAACAGGTTTGAACAAAATAGGTCCTGTTAATGATCTCCTTGTGACTTTCCTTTCCTAGAATTACTATTACCCTTTTTTTTTTCCTCATCAGATTAGTCCCTGGGAAAATTAAAGTGGGTTTTTATCCTAATGAATGAGATTATGCCTTGGGGCAGCTTTAACTCTGTCCCTAACCAAGACTCTATATAAGGAATCGTGAAAGAAGAAAGATAATTCAGGCAAGAAGACTGAACAAAGTACACATTGGACAGGTTCAGTAGGGCAGGTGGCTGGGTAGAGGGAAATGGTCTCATTACAATCCTACACAATCTTGCGCAGTTCCTTTAAACTCGTGAATCATTAGCTTATGCCCAGGTAGTTAGGAACTTGGAGTGGAACCAGTAGACGGTGCATGTACATAGACCTTTACACCTATGCTGCAGGGTATTGTTATACAACTGCTGTAACAAGTGTAGCCAAAAAATTGCTTACTTCTGGTCCCATTGATCATTCTCCTTTTGACCTTGCCTATGATCATTCTCCTTTTGACCTTGCCTAAGTCAGGTGGCCACTAGGGATTTCTTTTCTCTCTGTGCCTCATTAAAATGGAGACCAGGACTATTCTTACTCTGAGCCATCAACCTCAAACTGTAAGTCAGTGAGTAGGTCCACAGCCCTGACTTAGAAAATAAATAATATCGCAGAAGAAGTTTCATCTTTGCAACCCTTGGGAGATCCCCTGGGAAGCGTTTCCATCTGATGAGCCAAGATCACAGCATAGGGATCAAGTGACAGCCTCAAAGGCATTGAAGTCTGTAGAAAGATTAGAGTTAAAACAAGTTAAACAAGACAGAAGGATTCAGTTTATCCTAGGATGCTTTAGGTTCGTATGCTGTGTAATACATCACCACACATCATATAAGCAGCAATGTAAAACAACATACTTTTATTATCTCAATGTATCTGTGGGTCAGAAGCATGGACACATCTTAGTTGGGTCCTCTGCTTGTGTCTCACAAGGCTGCAGTCAAGGTGTCTGCTGGGCTGCTCATCTGAAGGCTTACCTGGGAAGATTCATTTGTAAGCTCCCTCAGGCCGAATTTATTTCTTTTTGGCTGCAGGATTCATTTAAACTTGCTTTTAAAAATCTAGACAGGGAGGGCCAGGTGCGGTGGCTCATGCCTGTAGTCCCAGCACTTTGGGAGGCTGAGGTGGGCAGATCATGAGGTCGAGAGATCTAGATCATCCTGGCCAACATGGTGAAACCCTGTCTCTATTAAAAACACAAAAATTAGCTGGGCTTGGTGGCATGTGCCTGTAGTCCCAGCTACTAGGGAAGCCGAGGCAAGTGAATTGCTTGAACCCAGGAGGCAGAGGTTGCAGTGAGCTGAGATTGCGCCACTGCACTCCAGCCTGGTGACAGAGCGAGACTCTATTTAAAAACAAAAAATCTAGACAGGGAGATACAGATGGAGATAGGATAGGAAGACAGACTTTAGCATACCAGTCACTGTACCTTACGTAAGCACATGTGCATGATCACATGCATTCCAGCGTCTCTGCTACACTCCAAGTCATAGGTCTCACTTACACTTGAGGGGAAGGATTATACAAGATCAGGGACACCAGGAGGCAGGGATAATGGGAGCCTCCTAAAATTGTTTAAATCTGTCCAGTTATCTGCCACACAAGGATTGTAGAAACTATCCCACTGATGTTTAAAAAAAGGAGAAACACAAACATCCATCGATGGATAAATAAAGTGTAAAATGCAGTTTATACATACAATGGAATATTAGGCAGACTTAAAAAGGAACAAAATTCTGGCACACGCTACAACATTGATAATCCTTGAAGACGTAATGTTAAATAAAATAAGTTAGACCCAAAAGATCGAATATTGCATGATTCCACCAGTATGAGGTACCTAAAGCAAACCAATTTATAGAGACAAAAAAATAGAGCAGTGGTTTCCAAGAGAGGAGAAAGAAATTGGAATTTGTGTTAGTCGGACCTCTGCAGAGAAACAGAATCAATAGGAGGTATACATACATAGAAATAGATTTATTATAAGGAATTGGCTTGTATGATTACAGAGCCTGGTAAGCTAAAATCTGCAGTGTTTGCTGCCAGGCTCGGCTAGCAAGTGGAGAACTGGGAGAGCTGATGGCTTAGTTCCAGTCCACAGACTGCAAGAGAATTCTTTCCTACTTGGGGGAAGGTTAGGTATTTTTTGTTCTTTAGGCCCTCAACTTTTTTTTTTTTTTTTGCCAATCAGTTTGAGCTTATGAGGTTGCTCAGGTTACCCTTGAACTGATGATCTGGCCTTCGCAAGTGCCATGACCTCCGGCGGGAGCCACTTTGGACCCCCGGCCCTCAACTTTTGAATGCGACCCACCCACATTATGCAGTAAAATCTGCTTTCCTCTGCTGATTAATATGTTAATCTCATTTAAAAGCATCCTGTCTGGGAACCCCATGGCCCAGTCAAGAAGACATATAAAATTCACCATCACGGGAGTTATTGTTTGGTGGGTACAGAGTTTCAGACAGGGAAGATGGGAAGTTCTGGAGATGGATGGTGGTGATGGCTGCACGACATTGTACATGTCCTTAATGCCACTGAATGGTACACCTAAAAATGGTTAAAATGGTAAACACTTTATGTTATATAATATTCATGGCATCTAAAATAACTGAGTCACTGTAGAAATGATAAAGTGCACTTTTCAGTGTGCTATCCTTTCAGTATTTCTTAATTCTTTCTTTTGAAATGGAATCTCACTCTGTTGCCCAGGCTAGAGTACAGTGGCACAATCTTGGCTCACTCCAACCTCTGCCTCCCAGGTTCAGGCGATTCTCCTGCCTCAACCTCCCAAGTAGCTGGGATTACAGGCCCACCACCAGGCCCCGCTAACTTTTATATTTTTAGTGTTTCACCATGTTGGCCAGGCTGGTCTCAAACTCCCAACCTCAAGTGATCCACCTGCCACAGCCTCCCATAGTGCTGGGATTACAGGCATGAGCCACCACCCCCAGCCAACTTTTCCAATTTGGTCTCAGATACTCTGCACATAGTAAAAGGAATACAGGAAACAGGGAATCCTAATTAGGCTGTCAATATTGGTGATTTTCTGTGTGTGTGTGATGAAGTCTTGCTCTTTCACCCAGGCTGGAGTGCAGTGGCACGATCTCAGCTCACCGCAACCTCCACCTCCCAGGTTCAAGCAATTCTCCTGCTTCAGCCTCTCAAGTAGCTGGGATTACAGGGCACACCACCACGCTCAGCTAATTTTTGTATTTTTAGTAGAGATGGGGTTTCACCATGTTGGACAGACTGGTCTCAGACGCCTGATGTCATGATCCGCCTGCCTTGGCCTTCCAAAGTGCTGGGATCACAGGTGTGAGCCACTGCACCCAGCCAGTGATTTTTCCTGATAGTTTCCCATATGTTTTATTTATGTATTTGTTTTTTCATTTTTCCTTTTTCCTTTTTTTCCTGGAGTAATTTAAAGTAAATCCCAGATATCGTATCATTTTGCTTATAAATCCTTCAGAAGACATCTCCAACAGATATATATCTGATTAGGAGGTTGTCGAGGGAAAATAGGTAAGCACTGAATCAGTAAATACATACAGACATACTTAAGGGGCTCCCATAGGAGAGTCTTTGTCACATAAGTTAATCGTGGATTTGACTGAAATACATTATTTGATGGGTAATTTAACTGGGCTGAAGATTACTAGAATACTAATAACTGTTATTTATTGGGTTCTCATTATGCTCCAAGTCCAAAGCTTGCCATTTTTACCCAGCATGTCATTTGAATTCCTATAGCAATGTTATCAGGTAGACATTACACCCAAATTTTCAGACAAAGACATAGATTCAAAGTATTAAGATTTCCCAAGATTGTAGACTAAAGGAAAGTGTTGAAACCAGCTCTTTCTAGTTCCAGTGTCTTCTGCTGCTTTGTTACAGCAGCACTGTGTTTAACAGCCCCAATTAAATTCTAAAGTTACCCAGGACACCATTGCTGGAAATGGGAGCCATATGTGATTCCCCCCAGTATTCTCAGATCTGTAGCGAAATAAAACAGTGAACATTTGAAAAGAATCTGTGTGATTTGTAAAAGACACCATATAGAAACAGTCTGCTAAGTGAAATTAACAAACAAATACAAACATTGGAGTCAAATATTCTGGCCAAAATTTCTGACACATTTTTCACAAATGTAGTGCAATTTACTCTTTGAATTTCAGTTTCTGTATCTGAAGAGTGGCTACAATGTCTCTTCTTGAATGCTCATCAAAGATACAGTTTTCCCTTTCATAAATTACTTAGCGAAATATCCTGAAACACCATCAGAATCACCACTTTCTGTGCCTGCAATATACGTAACACAAGAATTTTCGTCAGCGAACTTCCCAATATGAAGCAAAGCATCTCCTTCCTCCTGCCAATGATTGAGTCATTCTTCTATTAGATAACAGCAGCTATTTAAATACTTCAGCAGAAGCTCACGTATTTTTAGTTTGTTGAAGTTCGTGACTGCTGCACTCTCTCTTTCTTGGCTTGACTTTGGAAATGACTTTTGATGACCTAAACATCAAGACCATGAGGGACCACCCTGATGAGAAGTCAAATGGAAGAAAGGCTAAAGGTACTAGGGATGGGAAAATGTGTACAGGGACAGAATCCCAGTGTTAGCCCCAAAATGTAAATTCATCCAAGAATGGGATTGGAAAGCTAAACACCCAAGTATGGGGAAATAGAATTAATACCATTTGCTTAAAAGAAAAACAAGTAGGCTATAATAATGATGATGATGATGACAACTTATATATAACAATTTATACTGAATATTTACTACAGGTTATTCTCTATGCTATTCACTTTAAGAGTATTATTTCTCGGAATCTTTACAACAACACTTTGAGATTGGCAGTATTATTATCTCCCTTTTACAGAGAGCTAACTGGGCATGGAGAGAACTAACAACATCATATTACCCAGTTTTATGGAGCCAATAAGCAGTAGAGCTAGGACTGTACCACAAACTCCCATTTATCCAGAATTCAATACATCGGGGGTTCGGGAAACAAATTTATCCGGTGTATACAATGATAATTTCTGTAAGCGTCCTTCAGGCATTCAAAAACCTGAAGTACTTCATGAATTATGCAGCCAAAGTAAATGATATTTAGTATAGCTTAGCATAAGTTACATTTTGTTGTTTACTACTGCTTTGAAAAATTGTAAGTTCTGTTTGACACGTACAGTAAATTAAACTGCATCGGTATAAATTAATTCATAATCTCAATTCCACAGACAATCGGGATAAATTGCCTCTTAGTCTAGATCTATTTGGAGGAAAATGAACAGAATACAAGGAGAGAAAGACAGACAAGTATTATCAGAACTTTGGATAAAGAAATTTCAGATTACATTTCCAAAAACAACATAGAAATCTCTCTCAACAGGGAACATAGGTGTGAGCATGGAGTGATTTAACATTTGAGTAAATAAACTTAATTGGTATAAAAACAGTGACAGGTAAAACCAGAAGTGAACAATAGTCATTTGTTTATTCACTCACTCATTATTTGTGTAGTAAATACTGAGGGCCTGAATTTTACTATAATCATGAGATTGATTATTCTTTCAGAATCTTGATAAGATCAGGTACCTACTGCAAAGAATTGGATTGCTTTCTGATTAGAAAATCACTAGAAGGGGCAGGAGTTGGATTAATGGTCTCTGCCTTCCAAGGACACAGGACAAAAGGGAATCTATAGAAAAAGGGAACATGCCTTTCTGAACAGGATCCTGTGATTCTTTTTCCTCTAAAAATTTAGTTTTTCATTATTTAAGAGTGATGTGGCCAGGCGTGGTGACGCACACCTCTAATTTTAGCACTTTGAGAAGCCTGGTGGGTCATGAGGTCAGGAGTTCGAGATCAGCCTGACCAAGGTGGTGAAACCCCGTCTCTACTAAAAATACAAAAACTAACAGGGCATGCTGGCATGTGTTGGTAATTCCAGTTACTCAGGATGCTGAAGCAGGAGAATCACTTGCACCTGGGAGGCACAGGTTGCAGTGAGCCGAGATTGTGTCACTGCACTCCAATCTGGGCAATTCCATTTCAAAAAAAGAAAAAGAGTGATGAGGGTATCTGACACCCTATAATGTGGAATGAACACTGACCAGAGAGTTGAAAGACTGGTTGAAAGATTTACACAGAGATATTTGCCCCTGAGGCTAGAATTAGGCAATTATTTGCAAGAGACATAACTATCGTCTACAATTTCTCTGCTAGCTTGCCACACACACTCTAGAAGCCAATAAGTATTGAATCAGAGGATGAACCATATTTATCCCTGTCAAGTTTCTATCTTCTTTTTATCATTTGTGGAGTCTAACACAGTACCTTTGATACATGAAAATTTGAATATATCTGACCACTGCTTGACTTGGATTATTATACATTCACACTGGAAATTTTATTATAATGTTTCAAGTCGAGTAGCTACTGACAATTAGACTAAAGACTATTTTTGGGATTTAGCATCTGTGTGATCTTAAGCAAGTTCCTAAACCTTTCATTCTCCTTATTTGCGTACAGAGGATAATAATATCAGTGCCTTATTTGTTTATCTCAGAAGGTGAGGAAACCAAATACATTGTATGGAATGTTTTTCTACAAAACCAGTAATATCTGTGTTTTTTTTTTTTTTTTTTGTGGTGGAACACATAATTGGATATTCGTACACCTGTGAGTTTTTCAAAATGGTGAACACTTCTCTTATAAAATCAAGCCTACAGTTGGTGTGAGTGTAGGACATGCTGTTAATATAAACCAAATTAATATCAAAGTTTCATCCCTACTGAGATGTCGATCACCACCTGCAGAGGTCTGTCCTGCGGATCCTGACTCAAGGATGGTTGAATAAATGCACTCTCACACCCATTACAGTGATTTAAGTGGGCTAGGGATGGTCGTTGACTGCTTTCCAAGGGCAATTGGCAGCCAATCGACTAAGACCCCCATCCCACCCTCACATTTATTCAGTATGGATTTAACAACAGAGGTTCTAAGTTAGCATGCCTGTGAATAATTAATATGGTTAAAAGAGTGGTTTTATGAATAATAAAAGCTTTAGGTTCTGGGGCCCAGAGTAAACACCATTAACGGGTGATTCCCCTTTGACCTCCCCCTGAGAGGACCATCTAGCACAAAGTTTACATAGTAAACAGAGTAGAGACAAAGGAATGTGGGGTAAACAGACTTAAACTGGGAAAGACTCTTACTGTCTCTATCTCTTTTTGTTTTTGAGACGGAGTTTCTCTCTTGTTAACTAGGCTGGAGTGCAATGGCACGATCTCAGCTCACCACAACCTCCGCTTCCTGGGTTCAGGCAATTCTCCTGCCTCAGCGCCACCATGCCCAGCTAATATTTTGTATTTTTAGTAGAGATGGGGTTTCACCACGTTGACCGGGATGGTTTCGATCTCTTGACCTCATGATCCACCTGCCTCGGCCTCCCAAAGTGCTGGGATTACAGGTGTGAGCCACCGAGACCAGTCGTCTCTATCTTTTTGCTGTGCTGACGTAATGAACCAACTGCCTTCGGCCCGTCCCAGTAAAACCTTTCAGTCTTCTAAAAGGTTTGACTAATCTAAACTTTCTCTTCCCTAGTATTTTGCCAGTCACCTCAGGTGAATTCCAATACCTACTTCTCTTCGATTAATAACCCCAGTTCCAAGATGTAATTTTGGTGGAATAATAATTGAATAGCATAAAATTATTTATGAAATTATTTGAGGAAATCTCAGTGGATTGATGAAAGTTTACTTGCTTGTTGTCTGACTTTACTTGCTTGATGTTTATGTTACTTATAAAACACACCCTGTGTGTGTGCATGTGTGCACATGTGTACACATGGGCTATATGAAAAACTTCAGGCTCTCTGCACTGTGGATGAGGTTGATCCAACCAAGCCGGACTGTGTGTTTCCTGAGGAATCATTGTGGGGAACGTAGATAAAGTAACAGCTTTAGAATCATATATTTAGATTCAAATATCTGGTATTGAATCTTGAGTCTGAATTTACTGGTTGTAGGACCGTGGGTAAATTACTGAAATTCCTTAACTCTTCCTATTTTCCATTCCTAAATGTGTATGATGAATTATTTGCAGAGTCATTTGGAGGACTGAGGGTATGGAATGCAAACACCAAGTACAGACAGGCTCCAAAGAAGGGTTTGCTTACTTGTTCACTCATTTTTGTCTATCTTCTGTCACTCTAGGTCTTCCCTTTCTTTATTCTCCATGGTGGTGCCTGGTTGCTGTGACTCTAGGGGTCCTTTGCCTGGGATCAGTGGTGATCATTATAAAGCTGGGTGTGGAATGTAAGTGCTAAAATAAGGAACTGATATTTGTCAGGGTGGGAGTGTTGGAAATGAGGTTAATAAATATAGTATACGGTTTATAAGTTTCTTTCATAACAACTACAAACAGCCATGATTTAGATTCATTTTAGGCAATTTTTTTTTTTTTTAAAGATGGGCTTTCCCCATGTTGGTCAGGCTGGTCTTGAACTCCCGACCTCAGGTGATCCGCCTGCCTTGGCCTCCAAAGTGCTTGGATTACAGGTGTGAGCCACCATGCCCAGCCAAAAAAAATTTTCTTGAGACAGAGTCAAACTGTCACCCAGGCTGGAGTGCAATGGCATGGTTTTAGCTCACTGCAACCTCTGCCTCCCGGGTTCAAGTGATTCTCCCGCCTCAGCCTCCCGAGTAGCTGGGATTACAGGTGGGTGCCACCATACCAGGCTAATTTTTGTATTTTTAGTAGAGACAGAGTTTCGCTATATTGGCCAGGCTAGTCTTGAACTCCTGATCTCATGATCTGCCCACCTCAGCTTCCCAAAGTATTGGGATTGCGAGCATGAGCCGCCGCACCCCAGCCAGCAAAATGTTTTTATAGTGACCATGAAGATAAATTGGTATATTGTTCATCCTCAAATGGAGGCGTAAAATGAAGATTACAATTGGTTAGTGTTTTTTGTTTGTTTGTTTTTATAACTTCATGGATAGGCTGGGTGCTGTGGCTCATGCCTGTAATCCCAGCAGCACTTTGGGAGGCCCGAGGTGGGTGGATCACCTGAGGTCAGGAGTTCAAGACCAGCCTGGCCAACATGGTGAAACCCCATTTCTACTAAAAATACAAAAATTAGCCAGGTGTGGTGGTGCATGCCTACAATCCCAGCTACTGAGGAGGCTGAAGCAGGAGAGTTGCTTGAACCCAGGAGATGGAGGTTGCAGTGAGCAGAGACTGCACCACTGCACTCTGGCCTGCACAACAGAGTGAGATTCCATCTCAAAAAAAAAAAAAAATTCATGGATAGAGCCTACTTAAATTCTGAAACGATACAGAAGACAATAATTTAAAGTTACGAATCTCCAAGATCATCTGAGAGGCCCAAAAGTAAAAGAAATTTTATTTAGCTTGCTGAGTTTTGATAAAGATGATTAGCTACCATTTTAATGTTAAGAATCAGAAACACAATCTTAATAAATAAAACATTTAAAGCAAAATATATTTCAAATGTACAATAAGCACATTAGAAAAGAGAGAATGGATATTGAGGAAAAAAAAGAAGTGAAAAGAAGGTCCAGAGTGGCCAAGAAGGAAAGAAAATGGGGCCTATCATTCACTCGACCTGCCTGTGAATTTAGGTTATAGATCTGAGTGGTTTAGGCTACCCAGGATCCAGATTATTATGGCCATTGAAGTGCTATTTGCTTCTTAATGGTTGTTCAAGTTCACAGACTATTTCATTTTAAATCTGTCACTTAGAGCCTTTCCTAGTGACTGGGAGTAGTGTCCTTGACTCAGTGGTGGTGATCAGAAAAATCTTCTGAGACTTTGATTAACAGGGTCAATGCTGCCTTCAAACCCAGTGGTCTGCTTTGTATTGCACCATCAAAATTTGAGAACTGAGACATCTGACCCTTAACATTTATTGGCTGCTTGATTTCACAATCTTCGCTTTATCGCCACCTTTCCTAAAACGTAAGGTAGCCGGGGCGGCAGGGGGTGGGGAAGAAAGAAAACATGCTCGAAGACTCTTGTGACACAGTGATTTACAATAATTTTGTGTGTGGCTGTCTCAAAAAAGGGGTGTGTGTCACAGTTCTTCAAATTAGGAAGTCTGGAAGAGTAGACAGAATGGGAGGAAATACAGCAGAGGAATTAAGACATAAATAGAGTAAATCACTAATGACAATTCTTGCTAATTGTCACTGAGTCTGCTGGGTGTCTATTTTAGGTTTTCCTTATTTTATTTATTACACTACTATACTGGTTATCTTGTGATTACTTTTCATTTGTAACTCAATTTTAAAAACTTGGTAATTTTTAAAAAAAATTATGTGTTTGCAATGTTCTTAAACAAAATACCCTAGGAATATTCAAGAACCTCCACATCTGTAATTTCTGAGTAAACTTGAGTCATTTTTCAGCAGCTTATCTATTGTCAAAATAGATTTAATTCTGTTTTGATTTCCTCAAAAAGTCTCTTGAGGGATTTTTATTTGGGTTGAAACTAGAGTCTTAAGGAAATTGTGATTCAGTATCCCAGGTATCGGACCTCCTAACACAACAGCAAGTAAACCTAACTCACCAGAAAAATAAACTGGAGAGACAGATCTCAGCCCGGCAACAGGCAGAAGAAGCTTCACAGGAATCACAAAAAGAACTTAAAGAAATTATTGAAACCCTCGCCCAGAAGCTGAATGAGAAATCCAAAGAGCAAATGGAACTTCACCAACAGAATCTGAATCTCCAAGAAACACTGAAGAGAGTAGCAAATTGCTCAGGTATTGGGAGAAGGGTGGGTGAGCAGAGATGGTGGAAGCTTTCTGTCCAGTCTGAACTATTTTTTGGAAACAACTCTGGGCTCGAAATTGGTGTATTGTTATGCATATAATTATTTATTCATAATGTTCTATACGGGAAGTTCTCGATTTTTGTTGTTGTTTTTGTTAGACGGAGTTTCTCTCTTTTGCCCAGGCTGGAGTGAAGTGGTGAGATCTCTGCTCACTGCAATCTCTGCCCCTGGGTTCAAGCGATTCTCCTGCCTAGCCTTCCAAGTAGCTGGGATTACAGACACTGCCACCATGCCTGGCTAATTTTTGTATTTTTAGTAGAGACAGGGTTTCACCGTGTTGGCCAGGCTGGTCTCAAACTCCTGACCTCAGGTGGTTCACCCACCTCAGCCTCCCAAAGTGTTAGCTAGGATTACAGGCGTGAGCCACTCCCCCTAGCCAATTTTTTTTTAGATGGAGTCTTGGTCTGCCACCCAGGCTGGGAAGCAGTGGTGTGATTTCGGCTCACTGCAGCCTCTGCCTCTCCAGCTCAAGTGATTCTCCTGCCTTAGCCTCCCAAAGTGCTGGGATTGCAAACACAAGCCACCACACCCAAGTAATTTTTGTACTTCTATTAGAGACAGGGTTTTGCTATATTGAACCGGCTGATCTCAAACTCCTGACCTCAAGCCATCTGCCTGCCTCAGCCTCCCAAAGTGCTGGGATTATGGGTGTGAGCCACCGTGCCTGGCAATAAATTCTTAATTTTTATCATAACCATCCTATGGTATGCCAAATCTTTGAGAAATTTGATTTAATTAAGCATACGTTTTGGTGCATTTAAGTTTCTCTTCCTTGTAAGAGCCTCTTTCTCAAATTTTAGTGGCGAAAATTTTTTTTGAGAGCTCTGTCACACCCTGGCTGGAGTGCAGCGATGAGGTCTTAGCTGACTGCAACCTCCCCCTTCTAGGTTCAAGCAGTTCTCTTGTCTCAGCCTCCTGAGTAGCAGTTTGGAGATTTTTCTTGAGGAATTCTGCCACCCCCAGCCCTTTCCATAGATCCTTATCTCTTTCCATTTCAGTGCGTTTTAATCGCTGTATTTCTTTTTCTAAAGGGTCTTTTTGTCCTTGCAACTGTCTACCCCTAACTCTACATTAGCTCATTCTATGGCACTATTTCTTAAAGTGTACTACATCAAATTACCAATTTATTTTATTTTATTTCAGTTTTTTGAGATGGAGTCTTGCTCTTTTGCCCAGGCTGTGCCCTGCCCTGATCTCGGCTCACTGCCACCTTCGCCTCCAGGGTTCAAGCGTCTCACCCTCCCAAGTAGCTGGGATTAAAGGCGCCCAAGACCATGCCTGGCTAATTTTTGTTTTTGTTTTCATTTTTTCTGAGAGGGGGTCACCCAGGCTGGAGGGCAGTGGCACTATCTCAGCTCACTGCAACCTCAGCCTCCCGGGTTCAAGTGATTTTCCTGCCTCAGCCTCCTGAGTAGCTGGGATTACAGGTGCCCACCACCACACTTGGCTAATTTTTGTATTTTTAGTAGAGACAGGGTCTCACTATGTTGGCCAGGCTGGTTTTGAACGCCTGACCTCAGGTGATCCACCTGCCTCAGCCTCCCAAAATGCTGGGATTACAGGTACGAGCCACTGGGCCGGGCTCATCAATTTAAATAGTACCAGTGGAGGTTGGCTGGCTTGCAAACATTACGCAGATACTTCAGATTAGACAAAAATATGAGGAGTCCAAGAAGTCTATTTATATAAGAAGAAATGAGTTAATTTTAGTTGTCGAAAGGGACTCAGAATCCAGAGGCAGGCAGAAATAGTAGCGTCTATAAGAAGATTATGATGTGAATTCTGATACTGTTAGGGAAGCTACTGCATTAACTGTCATGAAATCTGGTACACGTTTTTAGGCCTGGGGGAGGTAAAAGGTGTGAGATAGAGTCATGCAGAGGTACTTTGTTTCCTTGGAGGTGCATAAATTAGTGCCCTATTGTCAGGATTAGTAAACAGCTGCCTCTGATAAAGATCTTTCTAGCTTCCTGCTTGCACAATTGACTTACTCTCAACTACATCATTTCTTTGAATAAAGAGTATATAATAACAGTTCACAGATACCTAAACTTTTCCTTGACAGGTGAAAAACTGAGACCTAGATAAAGTTAAATGATGATAAAAAGTAATTTTGTGTAATGTTTTTCAGTTTATAAATCCCTTCACTATTTAGAAGTCATTCACATTTTCAATATGAGCAGAAATTTTTAGACAAAATCATTTTTAGCAAGTATCAAACATATTTAATCTCTTTAAAGTTGGACCTTTCAAGGAAATGAATATATCACCTTCAAGAACGCTTAAAGGAAGAAGATTTATATATTAAGGGTAGGAATGTTTATAAAAGCAGAAATAACCACACGCCAACCAATGGTCATATCACAGGCAAGGCCATAAGACAATTTTGTCTTTATCAGTCATTTGGGATTAAATCTACATCAGGACCATTCAGAACTATCTCCTAGAGATGCCCTGGATGAACGGCTAATAAAAGACATGAAGTGATATGTCTGATGCTGGCAGATAGAGCAAGTAACATGTTCCATTCCTTGACAGTGTCAGATAAAGGCTAGTTAGTACAGATACCAAATAAAGTTCTGCCTTTCACCAAGGACCTTTGAGATGTCTTTGAAAAGTAATACTGAAATGCCATATTAAAAAAAAAAGGCCTGGTTTTTCCAGGGTGAGGCAAGTTTTATCTTTTTTACTAAAAAGACTGTGGCCTTCAATGTACATATAGTGGGAAGAGAGGCTGAGATGTTATTATATGTTTGCTTTAGGCCAATGAGCTAGTGGGATGCAGGCCTTTGCAGGAATAGACTTCACATTTAGCAATGGAATTTGAGGTGGTTCTCAAGCTTTACTGTATGTAAGTAGATTCAGGAGTTCAAGACCATCCTGGCCAAGATGGTGAAAATCCATCTCTACTAAAATGCAGAAAAAAAGTCAGCTGAGCTTGGCGGTGCATGCTTGTAGTTCCAACTGCTCAGGAGGCTGAGGCAGAGGAATTGTTTGAACCCAGGAGGCAGAGGTTTCAGTGAGCTGAGGTAGGTAGCGCCACTGCACTCCAGTCTGGCAACAGAGCGAGATTCCATCTCAAAAGAAAAAAAGTGGCAGATTACAGATTTAGCGTCAAGATTCTGTATCAAAATGTCTTGAGTGTCACTGAGAAACATTTTCTTAAATGGTTTTAACTTAAAAGTTCGAAAAGTAGTATGTTAGACTGGTCAAACACACAGAATCTAGAGTTAGATTGCGTAGGTCCAGATTCTCCTCTATTTGTCAAAAGAAGAAAAAGAATGGAACCTATCTCATAGAGATGTTATGAGGATTAACTGAGTTGATATCTGTAAAGTGCTTCCAACAATTTCTGGCACATACTGAGTGATATTTGTGTTTGTTAAATTATATGGCAATTACAAATATCACTTACTATGTTTATTTTGGTGTACACACACATACAAACATACACACACACACAAACACAAACAGAAATGCAGTTAGTTTAAATACTACATTTTGTAATGTGTCCTTCTTCCTTTGTCACAGCTTGGAAAACTTGCCCAGACTGTCTTTTTAGTCCACAAAAACTCACATATATCTACACATATATATTTTTGAGATGTACTCTTGCTCTGTCGTCACTCAGGCTGGAGTGCAGTGGCATGATCTCGGCTTACTGTAACCTCTGCCTCCTAGGTTCGATGACGCACACCACCATGCCCAGTGAATTTTTATGTTTTTTTTTTTTTTTGTAGAAACCAGGTTTCACCATGTTGCAAAGGCTAGTCTGGAACTCCTAAACTCAAGCACTCCACCCACCTCAGCCTCCCAAAGTGCTGGAATTATAGGCATGAGCCACCACGCCTAGCTGAAAAAGTACATATTTTTATGTTGACATAATATGATGGGGTTAGGTAAATTAAGAATTAAGAAGCTTGCATTTACTGCTGCTTTCAGCTTGGTCTCTTTTTCTTTTTATAAGTATCAGTTTGATGAAAAATCAACTTAGTGTTTTGTATGCTCTTCCTCATTCACTTTCTTCTTCTTCTGTTTTTTTTTTAAAAGACAGGATTTCACCATATTGGTCAGGCTGGTCTCGAACTCCTGACCTCAGGTGATCTGCCCACCTCGGCCTCCCAAAGTGCTGGGATTACAGGTGTGAGCCACCACATCCGGCTTCACTTTCTTCTTTTGTTTTTCAGTCCCTCCTATTTTCTCCTCTCTAATAAAGCCGACTCTTATGCATTTATCTAGTGATTTTATACCGCAATGAGAATGAAATTAAAATGCTGCCTTTCTAAAATATTTTAGTTTTTCACCTTTTGGTTGCAGTGTAGACCAGAGTACTTTGTTACCCTTAAAGAGATGGAAGAGATGATGATGATGATGGTGGTGATGATAGTGATGCTTTGGGAGTTCCTGAAAGCATCCATAAACATGTGGACATTGGTATATTTTACCTATTGTCTAAGCCCTGTGTTGGATTTGTTAGAATCCCCGTGAATTTTGCTCCTGAAAATGTCCTTACTTTTAAAAATCTTATTGAAACTGAGATCCACACTTTATATGAATACTGTTTTCCCTAGAACAACTCTGTACAAAAGAAATATAGTATGTGCTACATATATATCATTAAAATTTCTAGCAGCCACATAAAAATGAAAAAGTAGCAGATAAAATTAATTTTAGAAACATATTTTACTTAACCCAAGATATTTGAAATATTATTTGATACTAATCAGTGTAAAACTTTTTAATGGGCTATTTTACATTCTTTTCTTTTTTTCAAACTAAGTTTTCAAAATCATTTGTGTGTTTTACACTTACAGTACATCTTAATGCAAACTAGCAGGTGTGGTGGCTGATGCCTGTAATTCCAGCACTTTGGGAGGCTGAGGCAGGAGGATTGCTTGAAACAAGGAGTTCAAGACCAGCCTAGGCAACACAGCGAGACTGAGACCGTGTTTCGATTAAAATAATTTTTTAAAGAAATGCAAACTAGCTACATTTCTAGTACTCAAGAATCACATATGGCTACTATATTAGACTATACATGTCTAAAAGCAAGACACACGGTATTTAAGCCTGCATTCATTATTCCAAGATACAAAGTTTTAAAATACATAGGCCTTGCTTTTTTAAAAATATCAGAAAGGCTAATAAATAGCTATTCCCCCAACCCTCATTTTCATTATTCCAAACACAGCTTTAAAAAATAGATCAGTTCCTAAAATTATATGCTGGTTTAACTTGCTTTTCAGCAGGGGAAGTGAAAACACTAAATGAGAAGTACATTTAGGTTGCTAAAATTGATATGCTTTTTTCTTTTTTTCAAAAATAGAGAAATAAGGACTCTGAGGCTATTTAGGTATTTGCAGAACTTGGGTGAAATTTTGCTTAAGAAGTAGTATGCTCTGGGCGCGGTGTCTCATGACTGTAATCCCAGCACTTTGGGAGGCCTGGCCGACGTGGTGAAACCCCGTTTCTACTAAAAATACAAAAACAAAAAAGAAACATAAATAGTATGCACGTGAGAGGACTAAGGGGATAATTGATTTAAGAACTGCAGAACTGCTTTTACTCAAATATAACTGATTGATTAGATACACTACCCTTTCCAGCTCCTTGTCCTCAAGACTGGATCTGGCATAAAGAAAACTGTTACCTGTTTCCCTCGGGCTCACTTGACTGGAAAAAGAGCCAAGAGAACTGCTTATCTTTGGATGCCAAGTTGCTGAAAATTAATAGTACAGAGGATCTCGTGAGTGATTTTGGATATTTGTTGGGCTGGAGAATTGGTTGATAGGGAAATAAATCTGGTTTAGATTGTCACTGGAGGAATTCTTGTTTGAGAGCCAAAATATCTGTGTTTTAGCTTAGTCTGACCACCAGTTTTGTGCATGACCTTGGACTGACAGGCTCCGTAGTATCTCTAGGCTTCAGTAAGTGTTTCCATAAAACCGTCAAGGGGATGTCAGAGATCCCTTTTGGTTCTTTAGTTGTATGGATCTAATGCTAACTGACTTTCAGATTCTAAAACCACCACGCAGGTTCCGCAAACTCAGAAACATTACTCCCCACAGGACTTCATCCTGCAAGCAATTTCCCATTCCAGTTTCCCATTCTGGACTGGGCTGTCTCGGAGGAACCCCCGCTACCCGTGGCTCTGGGAGGACGGTTCTCCTTTGATGCCCTACTTGTAAGTTTCCCATTCTTTTTGATGCCTCTCTTGTCAGTTTCCTCTTCTTTGCTGAATGTGCTAGTGAAGTCACAGCCTGAATTCCACTAATGCCCTCTTCTTGCCAGAGAGAAGCTTGGGGGAATTTCTCAAAGTCTCCTTCCTCACCTCTCTCATAAAAAGATTTACTCATTTACCCATTCAGACCTTTTCTTGAGTTTTCCTTCCCTCGTTTATTACTGATTGGAGGCTTTAAGACAAAAAGCTTCAAAGCTAAGCTTCTGAAACAAGGTGGCGGTAAATCTAAGGTGTTTTTTCTTCTCTCCCTGCCTACAGATTTAGACTCCGAGGTGCTATTTCCCAGACATACTCCTTAGGTACCTGCGCATATATACAACAAGGAGCTGTTTTTGCAGAAAACTGTGCTTTAGTTGCCTTCAGAATATGTCAGAAGGAGGCAAATCTATTAAGAGCACAGTGAATTTGAAGACTCTGGAAGAAAAGAAGAAAATCTTTGAGTTTTATTCTGGAATTTAAGCTATTCTTTGGGTGCAAAGCATGAGAGCCCAGAGGACGGTCAGCTAGCTGGCTGCACAATTCCTTTGCAGAAACTGGGGCTCCAGGTGCGTGCATGGCACCTTTATGCCAACATTTTTTATTCTAGCTGTCTGTATTACTTCACCTAGCTTGTCCCAAGCTTCCCTGCTAGCTGAAGTCCATTTGCCTCATTTTAAAATTTGACTCCTCTTCAAGCTTGAAAACTCTCTGCACTCAGTCTTCTCTACCTCCTTATCACCTTCCCCTCACCCTCCTAAAATTGCGTAAAAGACAGAACATGGAGAACTTGCTCAACTGCAGCCAGAGAGCAAAAAGGGGAAATATGCCCAGGAAAACGTGCACATGAAGAAACAGAGAGGGGCAGAGGCCAATCAAGAAACACATGTTCTTCACTTTAAAAGCTATCACTCCTTGGTTTTTAAACTGTGGTTCAATCTCCAGACTCTCTACCATTTACACACACACACACACACACACACACACACATATTTTGGGACAAGTGGGGAGTCCGAGGAAGTAATTAGTAAATGAGTGGTCTTTTCTGTGAGCTAATCCACAACCTATTAGTACTTCCTAAATTAGTTATTATTTCTTCATCATTTTTTTCTACCAGAGAACAGCTTAATAGCTTTAACCCTTCACAACAGTTCTTGTTAGAATCATGGGATGTGTGGCCCAGAGGTAAGAATGAAATTTCTTTCCCTAAAGAACATACCCTTTGTAGATGACCTCTTCTCAACTCTGTTTTGCTATGCTATAATTTTGAAATATACAAGATGAAAAAATTAAGATATTCAATCTAGAACAAACTGAGCCAGGTATTCAAATATTACCGAATAGAAACAGATGGAATTAGAAATATATCTTCTGTTTTCAGGTTTCTATTTCTTTTCCACTCATTCTTCATAGGTTATTCTACTTTAAGAAAGTCCTTTTATTTTGCTGAACATAATCTAGCCGGAATCTTTTTTTGTTTTGTTTTCTTAAAGAGCTGAATCATCCTTAGGAAGTCAAGAGATGTTTGCTTTTGTTAATAGCTTTACTGAGATATAATTAACATAAAATAAACAACATATTAAGTGTACAATTTGATATGTTTTCACACCTTGTGAGGAAGATGCATACCACAATTAAGAGCGTGAACATATCCATCATCCCTTCAAGTGTCGCAATGCCCCTCCCGATGACCTGTCTCCAGAAAATCAGCAGTCGGCTTTCATTTTGCACTTTATGGAGTTTCATATGAATGGAATCATATAGTATGCCTTTTTATTGTCCAGCTTCTTTGACTTTGCATAATTATTTTGAGATCATATGTCTCCATCTTACTGCTTATACGAATTGTCATCCTTTTACGTGCTGAATTACACACATCACAATTTGCCCATTTACTTGTTGATGACATTCGGGTTGTTTCAATTTTGGTATATTACAAATAAAGCTGCTATGAACATTTGTGTACAAGTCTGTCTGAACACAGGGTTTCTTTTCTCTTGGATGAACACTTAGGAGTATAATGTCTGGATCACACAGTAGGTGTATAGTTAACTATTTAGGAAACTGCCAGACTGTTTTCCAAAGTTGTACCATTTTACATTCCTCCCAGCAGTGTATGAATGTTCCAATTCCACCTCATCCATGCCAGGATTTAATATGGTTTGCCTTAACGATTTTAATGATTCTAATAGATATATAATGGTATATCCTCAGAGTTTTAATTTACATTTCCTATACATTTTTGTTTGTTTGTTTTTGAGACAAAGTTTTGCTTTTGTTGCCCAGGCTGGAGTGCAGTGGCGCAATCTCGGCTCACAGCAACCTTCACCTCCCAGGTTCAAGTGAGTCTCCTGCTTCACTCTCCTAAGTAGCTGGGATTACAGGCGCCCGCTGCCACGCCTGGCGAATTTTTATATTTTTAGCAGAGACGGGGTTTCATCATATTGGCCAGGCTAGTCTTGAACTCTTGACTTCAGGTGATCCACCCGATTCAGCCTCCCAGCATGCTGGAATTACAGGCATGAGCCACTGTGCCCAGCAAATTTTTATAAGCCTGTTTACCACCTGTACTAGGTAATTTTGATAAAGTAACTGTATAAATCTTTTGAAAATTTTTGCTTGGTTTATTTTTCTAACTGTTGAGTTTTGAGAACTCTATATATTCGGGTTAAAAACCCTTTATCAGATGTGCAGCTTGAAATATTTTTCTTGTTTTTTTTTTTTTTTTTTTTTTGAGACAGAGTCTCACTCTGTTGCCCAGGCTGGACTGCAGTGGCACGACCGCAGGTCACTGAAGCTTTGACCTCCCACGGTGAAGTGATCCTACTGCCTCAGCCTCCAAAGTAACTGAGACAATGGGGACCACAGATGTGCACCATCATGCCCAGTTAAATGTTTGTTTTTGTTTTTTTTTTAATTTGAGAAAGAGAGACAGGCTCGTCCTATGTTGCCCTGGCTGGCCTTAAACTCTTGGGCTCAAGCAATCCTCCTGCCTCGGCCTCCTAAAGTGCTGGGATTGCAGGTGTGACCCACCATGCCGGCCAGTATTTTTATCTTTTTTTGAGACAGAATCTCTCTGTTGTCACCTGGGCTGGAGTGCAATGGCACAATCTAGACTCACTGTAACCTCTGCCTCCCAGGTTCCAGCAATTCTCCTGCCTCAGCCTCCCGAGTAGCTGGGATTACAGGCTCAAGCCACCATGCCGGGCTAATTTTATGCATGTTTAGAAGAGATCGAGGTTTCACCATTCTGGCCAGGCTGGTCTCAAACTCCTGACCTCGTGATCCGCCAGCCTCAGCCTCCCAAAGTGTTGGGATTACAGGCGTGAGCCACGATGCCCAGCGAGATTCAGTTTCTTTACATGATGAGCTGTTCAAAGGAATCCTTCTTCGATGAGCTTTGGTGGTTACTGTCTTTCAAGGTTTTTATGTGCTTCATCTAAGCTGTTTAATTTTTGGCACACCATTTATAAAATTTATTTTAATATCTGTAGAATCTTTAGTGTTGCTACTTCTTTCCTTCCTTACAGTGTTAACTGTATCTGCTCTCTCTCTCTCTCTCTCTCTTAACTAATCAGCTTAGCTAGAGGTTTATCAATTTCATTTTCCTTTTCAAAAAAAAAAAAAAGCTATTGGTCAACAGAGACAAAATGGCCAAATAGACGCAGCCAGGAAGCACCACTCCTGCTGACAGAGATGGAGACTGGGAACCCCGTTCCTGGCCCTGAATGACTCCTAGGCAAGGCAGCCCACTCTTGCCGTGAACCTCTAGGATTCATTGCTGAATGAAATGTGTAGCTACAAGTGAACTACACTCCTCATAAGCATTCGAACTGGCATGGAGATATGCCCCACAGATATGCCGTGGGTCTCTGCCCGAGGAAGCCGCCCAGCCCGGACAACCTAGCAAAGGAAATCCGGGCATGGCGATAGTGATTGGAGGGGGCTTTGCCCAGGCCTAGGAGCAGACCTGGTGACGCAGTCAGCTCTCCGCGCTGGGCCACACCACGGGACACTGCCGCCAACTCGCTGAAACACAAGAGGCCTGCAGGGCTGGCCTTTACTCTTATGCGCCATCTGCTGGATAACAGTTCAAGTGACACCAAAAGTATTCTGCCAATATATTAAACATCGGCCCGTGGAACCCAGGGCAAGAATCCAGCCGCAAACGAAGATCTTGCACAGAGCCCTGGTCCTCGGACAGCACTCAGAAATGAAGCAAATGATTAGACTCAACTTACACCACAGTTAAAGGAACACCAGCCCTCTCAAATGAGAAAGAATCAGCTTAAGAATTCTGGCGATTAAAAAGTAAGAGTGTCCCCTTACCTCCAAATGAGCACACTAGCTCCCCAGCAGTGGCTCTTGACCGCATTGAAATGACAGACACAGAAATTAGAATCTGGATGGCAAGGAAGCTCATTGAGACTCAGGAGTCTCAATGTATTGAAACCCAATCCAAGGAAAATGATCCAAGAGCTGAAAGATGACAAAACCTTTTTTCTTCATTTTCATTTTCCTTTCCATTCTTTTTCTTTTTTTTCTTTCTTTCTTTTTTTTTTTTTTTTTTTTTTTTGTGGTGTAGGCTCCCTCTGTTAATCAGGCTGCAGTAAAGTGGCCACTGGCACAATCTCAGCTCACTGTAACCTCCACCTTCCAGGTTGAAGAGATCCTCCTGCCTCAACCTCTCAAGTAGCTGGGATTACAGATGAACACCACCATGCCAGGCTAATTTTTTGTAATTTTTGGTAGATACAGGGTTTCGCCATGTTGCCCAGGCTGGTCTTGAACTCCAGACCTCAGGTGATCCACTCACCTCGGCCTCCCAAAGTGCTAGGATTATAGGTGTGAGCCACCACACCCAGCCTGAAAAAAAAAAAAAAGCATTTTAAGAAAGAACCACACTGAACTTCTGTAATTGACAAATTTACTACAAGAATTTTATAATACATTTGGATGCATTAATAGCAGAATAGACCAAGCTGTGAAAATAAATTCAGACTGGTTCTTTGAATCAACTAATTCAGACAAAAATAAAGAAGAAATAATTTTTTTAAATGGACAAAAGCCCAGAGTAATATGGAATTATGTAAAGAGACCAAACCTATAACTCATTGGTATTCCTGAGAGAGGAGAGAGAGTAAGCTATTGGAAAATATATTTGAGGATATGGTCCATGACAATCTCTCCACTCTCACTGGAGATGTTAACACACAAAGTTAAGAAATACAGGGCTGGGAGCAGCGGCTCATGTCTGTAATCCCAGCACTTGGGAAGCCAAGGCAGATGGATCACTTGGGGTCAGGAGTCCGAGATCAGCCTGGCCAACATGGCAAAACTCCATCTCTACTAAAAACACAAAAATTAGCCAGGCATGGTGATATATGCCTGTAATCCCAGTTACTCAGGAGGCTGAGGTAGGAGAATCACTTGAACTTGGGAGGCAGATTGTGCCATTGCTCTCCAGCCTGGGCAACAAGAGCAAAACTCTGTCTCAAAAAGGAGAGAAAAAAAGGAAATACAGATAACCCCCATGAGATATTACACGGTGAGAAAGGAGACCCAGGCATCTAGGATCACCTCCCCCTTGACTTCCACATTGCATTTCAATAGAAGAAAAGGTTGGCTGACTGGCACCTCCTAAATCACCTTCCAATAAGATAGCAGGCGTGGTATGGGGGAATCTCTCTGAAAGACATTGTTTTTGTTTTTGTTTTTTAAGATGGGGTTTCGCCATGATGGCCAGGCTGGTCTTCAACTCCTGACCTCAGGTGATCCACCCACCTCGGCCTCCTAAAGTGCTAGGATTACAGGCATGAGCCACCGCACTGGCCAAGACATTTTTAGTTAAACAAGATCAAACCTCCACCCACTCCTCCATCTGGAGACCAAGACCCTTTCACATGTAATTCCTAAAGCTATAAACCCAAGACCCTGTCACTTGTAGTTTCTAAGGCTGTAAACCTAAGATTCTTTCACGTGTAATATCTAGAGTATAAGCCTATATAAAGGCAGAGCTTCTCTTTGTTACGGGAACGTGACCGTTTGGACAAAACATAAAGCCTTGCTCCTGGGCCGTAATAATAAAACCCCTTCCTTCTAGTTCAGTGTCCATAATAATAAAACCCCTTCCTTCTAGTTCAGTGTCCGTAATAATAAAACCTCTTCCTTTCTAGTTCAGTGTCCGTAATAATAAAACCCCTTCCTTCTAGTTCAGTGTCCATAATAATAAAACCCCTTCCTTCTAGTTCAGTGTCCGTAATAATAAAACCCCTTCCTTTCTAGTTCAGTGTCTGTAATAATAAAACCCCTTCCTTCTAGTTCAGTGTCCGTAATAATAAAACCCCTTCCTTCTAGTTCGGTGTCCGTAATAATAAAACCCCTTCCTTCTAGTTCAGTGTCTGTAATAATAAAACCCCTTCCTTCTAGTTCAGTGTCCATAATAATAAAACCCCTTCCTTTCTAGTTCAGTGTCCGTAATAATAAAACCCCTTCCTTTCTAGTTCAGTGTCTGTAATAATAAAACCCCTTCCTTCTAGTTCAGTGTCCGTAATAATAAAACCTCT